GGGTAGAGGAGATGTTGACTAGATTTGTTTACAATATTATTTAACCTACAAATGTAACACATATACTAGTTGCTAAAATACATAACCTACTATTAGGGTTAATTTTATCAAAAATGATTCATCCACATAATTTTTCCCCTAGAATCTTCCCGAATGTATTTCTAACCGGTAAGAAAATGATTCTGACCGGTAAGAAATCATTTTCTTAATGGTCAAAAACATATTCAAGGGGATTCGAGAGAAAAATTGTATGGATGTAGCATTGTTGTAATTTTATTGGTCAAAATTTTGGTCTTTTGATAAAAAGTAAAAAATTTGAGGAAAAATTATCATAAAGTCTCATATGGAAATCAGTTACTCCAATCAATCCCATGAATTTTATAATACACTAATAGGTCCTGTTTGTTTTGATAACCTGACCGTGGGATCTTATTTTGAATTTTAGTATGATTTGGCGGACGTTTCTACTCTTCTTCATTGAGGGACACTATCTTAGGGAAGTTGGATCTAATTTTTGGATTACATTTCTGTCACTCCAATGTAATGTTCTATTGTAACACTCCCCAAATGTAACACTCTAACGTAACACTCAAAAAAAAATTAGTATACTTTTTCTAAACGTAACACTCCAATGTAGCACCTTAGTATACTTTTCTCAAATATAACCCACAAAAAAACTCCTTAGTGTTTTTTTACTAAATGTAACACTCTAATACAATACACTAAAAAATGTAACAAACTAAAAAACTCTTTAGTGTATTTTTTTTCCAAACGTAACACTCTAACAAACAGCAACAATAAAGGAGATCATAATGACAAATGAGCCATTATACATCTAAAAAGACTAAATGGATTCCAAAAAAAAAAAATTATCGAATTAACTGGAATATAATTCCAACATATAGGATTTATCAGTAACTCTCCCAAAATTTAAATCTTTTTACTTGCCAATAAACCTTGTTCTATTAAATTTATTTGAGATTTTTTTTTCTCTAAAATATTTTGTACAAAAACATTAGCATTTAAATAAATAAAAAAATGATTTATTCCTCTAATTTTGCTCCTCCCAATTCCATCCTAATGATGTGAAATTAGAGAAATTAAAATATGAGAGAGAGAGAGAGAGAGAGAGAGAGGAGTGTAATACCATTTACATGAGTCTATTACCTTATTGAGATTAAATTAAAAACCTCAATTAGAAAAATATAGCCTATCTCGTAAGAGAAAAGTTAGGGATCATGAAAAAAATTTCATGAAAATGATCATGAAACTTTTATGATATTTGGATTATCTTAATTAGTGTGTGGTATTTTATTCTAAGTGTAATTCAAGGATCACAAAACTTTCATAATTAATTTTATGAAAAAATTTTCATGATACCTAACATTACTGATCTCTTAAACCAAGGCAATTCTTTGTATAATCACTTTACCTCACAGTTCAAACAACCTCTTTAGTGGATAAGGTAAACTATGGGCATGGATGATTAGGACTATTTAGAAAGCCATCCTTTTCTTGGAAAATAATGATCCCACACATCTTTCTAACCCCCTTAATTCCAATTTCCACCAGTCCTAATCATATAATTGGTGCGATGAAGATTCTTTTCACATTTGAAATATAATATGGGTAGAATTGTCATTTCCCTCCTATCCCACCAAAATAATAATGAAAAAGTCTCTAAATACCTTCATTAAATTTCTTTCGGAAAATATTGTCATTTCCCTCCTATCCCACCAAAATAATAATGAAAAAGTCTCTAAATACCTTCATTAAATTTCTTTCGGAAAATTATAAACAAAAAAAAAAATCAGATTTTAAGTTTTGTAACAAAATAATTTTTAATTTTTAATTTAAATATTAAACTTTTGATTTATTTTTAAATTAAACTAATTGTCTATTTTCGTGATGTAAAATCGATAAAAAAATAGATATTTTAGCCTCCGTTTGGGAAATGGGTTGGCTTTTTGACTTTTTGGCTTTTTGGCTATTTTAGCCTGGGCTATTTTAGCTTGGTTTGGGAAGGGCTTTTTGACATTTCGGCTTTTTTGACTTTTTTTGTGTGAGAGGATTGTAATGATTATGGGTTGGATTTGATGTTTTGTTTTTTGTGGCTAAAATAGCCTATTTTGTTTTTTGTGGCTATTTTAGCCAAAAAAAGCCTGGGCTTTTTCTTGCCAAACGGAGGCTTAGTCATTAAACTCAATGAAAATGATATTTTAAACATTTTATGTATATTTGTACTGAGTTTAATGATTAAAATATTCATTTCCCTCCTATCCCACCAAAATAATAATGAAAAAGTCTCTAAATACCTTCATTAAATTTCTTTCGGAAAATTATAAACAAAAAAAAAAATCAGATTTTAAGTTTTGTAACAAAATAATTTTTAATTTTTAATTTAAATATTAAACTTTTGATTTATTTTTAAATTAAACTAATTGTCTATTTTCGTGAAGTAAAATCAATAAAAAAATAGATATTTTAGTCATTAAACTCAATGAAAATGATATTTTAAACATTTTATGTATATTTGCACTGAGTTTAATGATTAAAATACTCGTTTTTCATCGGTTTTATTTAATAAAAATAGGCTAATGATTTGAATTGAAAACAAATCAAAATATTAGAGTTTAAATTGATAAAATTTAAAATTTAGAGTTTATTTTGTTATAAGGTTAAAACTTTTTTTTTTATAATAATTATCCCAATTTCTTTTTACAAATATTACATGCATCATAAATCTTTTGTACCTTACAAAAAAGCCCCTATACCTTAGAAAAAAATGTGTGTAAAGAAATATTTGATGAATGTTTTTAGAAGCTCTCAATAAATATACTGGCGCTGTTTGGGAATAGTGGGTTGAGGCCATTATAGCCTAAAATGAAAAATAAGCTCAAAAGCAACACTGTTCAACGTTTTTCAAAAAAAAAAAAAATAGGCTGCAGCCCCGGACAATGTAGGTTGTGCCTACACTATCAGTTGACAGATTGTTACATCAATTGAAAAATTACAATTTCGCCCCTTTATTTCAATTTAAAAAATTAGAATCTTAGGGATAAATTTGTCATTTTAACTTCAAACATCATTTCAACACATTTTTCAATACAACAACTCAAATAAAATCCATCTCATCTTCCCAAACACAAAAACTAAAATAGCCTACTAAAATAGCTAAAAAGCCAAATAGCCTACTAAAATAGCCACTTCCCAAACGAGGCCACTATAGTAATTAAATTTAAATATCATTTGATATATCATCAAAATATTAGCACAAGATATAAAAAGTGATACATATGTAATCAATGCATTAATCACATATTGTATGGCATTCAAAATTTGATTTTGTATAAAATTATTTGTAATAAAACATATATATATATATATATATGTAATTATTTTAAGTCATCCTAACAACTACTTTAAGGGCATATATGTTAATGGGAACCTTCAAAATATAATACATACCATGTTTAGTTGAGATTTCAAAATTTGTTTCCTATTTTTATTTTTTTTAATTAAAACTAGTTTGGTAACAAAAAAAGGAAAAAAAAAAAAAAAATGAAAAGCCAAGAGCACTCATATATATATATATATTTGGAACAAAAAATTTTTTTTAATACTTAGAGTTGGTTTGGGAATAGACTATTTTTAATAATTTTTGAACTTTTTGACTAAAATATGAGATGAACAAATTAGTATATTTGGGATATTTTTTTTCTTTTTACTAAAAAATGAGCAAAAAATTAAGAGAGAATAAAATCTTTTAATTTTTTTTGTATAATTCTTTGATTTTTTGACTTTTAACTATTTTTTGAACTTTCTAAACTTACCTTTATTTTCATTCAACCAAATAAAGGGATTATTTGGTGCAGCTTATCTAAGCTGCTTATAGATTTTTTTATTCTGAGAGTTCATATCAAACTGCTTGGTATAATTTTGAATTATAATTTATTAGATAAAAATAATTTAAATAAGATGAAATTAAATTTTTGAACTTTTAATTTTTGAATTATTAATTTTTAATATATAGTAAATTGCACCAAACAATACCCAAGTGTCACCCAACCAGCATTAAAGTAATAGTGATAAATTCTTTGGTAAAAATAAAAATTGTTATTAAAAAACTATAGGCAACTAGCCATAAAATAAAATAAAATTAAAAAAAAAAAAAAAAAAAAAAATTGTTCAGATGACTATAGGCAACTAGGCAACTAAAGTTGCGCAAATGACTTCATTGCTCTTCTGATGTGAGCACCCTCATAGTTGTTTCCAAAATTCTAAGGGTATATCTGTCTTTTTACATATAACGCGCCTTTGACTTTAGATTAAGATTGTGTGCTTTAATGAACACATATTAGGATTGTTCAAGTGGGGACACAATAATACATGCTATGCTAACCTTTGACTTTGTCACAAAGTGTGAGAAAAACTCATGATTCAGGGAAAGATTGAAAAAAGATAAAAAATCAAAAAGTTACTATCCTATTTAAGTTACGTCATTTTGTTTAAATTACATCACCTCTTTAATACATCAATTTTATAAAAAATCAAAAAGTACACTTATTTAGGGTTGGTTTGGGATGTTCTAAAAAAATACACTTTTTGACTTATCAGCTTATATGGGTTGGGTTTGGGTTGGATTTGATGTGATGTGTTAGAGAGGTGATGTGATTTAAATAAAATGATGTGACTTAAATAAAGTACTAACTTTTTGACTTTTTATATTATTTAAATTATGCCAAACTTAACCTTAATCTTCCCAAACTAGGCCTCAATCTCATGAACATAACACTAGTTTATGTTAATCCCAACATCAACAACCCACAACAGCCAAAAAAAAATTGGTACCACAACACTCATCCACGACCCTACACGTGTCCCTCTTGATGATAAAATCAACAGGTTGAACGGTCAGGATTGTTTGGTGAGAGTATGGTGCTTTTGACACGAAGTTGTGTGCTGTCAACGCCTTTGGTGTAAACATGCGGACAAACATAGAGACATGGTGAAGATAAGTAAAGATGAAAACTTTCTCTTCTGAGAAAATATTTGGGTGAGTTTCTTTCTCTTTCTTTCTCTTTCTCTCTTTCTTTCTCATAATCCATTTTCTTTGATTCCAGAAGATATGATTTTCTTGGGCATGGTCTTGTTTTGATATGTTCATATTCTCTCAGCTAGTGTAGATATATTTGTTTAGCACCTTATATTTTTTCTTTGGTTTTTGTTTTCTGTTTTTTGAATTCTCTGTTTCCTAAAGTTTGTTCCTCTGTGGGCTTCTTTGATTTCTCTTTTGGACCAACCTAACCTCATATAATCTGAGAATTTTCTAAAGAAACTCATACAACAAAAAGGTATATTTTTCTTTGAAATCTTGTTTTTGTTTACTATTATTTATGGGTCAAAACCTTAGGTTTTCTCTTACCTTCAAACTCAAAGCTTAATTTGTGAAGTTCATCTCTATCCTGGTCTCTATGGAATTGCAGGTTTTGAGTAATGATATGATCTCTGTTGCCTCATCTTGGTCTCCTCTTCATGCTTAAGGTATACATGTCTTAGCTTTTATGTCTCCTCTTGTGGATTTAATTTTTTTAAAAATTCCCCTCTTGCATGTTCCTAAATTATATGTGAATTTCTTATGATTGGCCATGTAAATCTTCTTCTGGGTTGATGATTTTATGTATTGAAATTTGAAACCCTATTGTGTAATCTAAATTCCAAATAATTGTGCCTATTTTGTATTTGTCAATTTGCTCTTGTTGCTATTCTTGGATTGCTTTGGCGAAATTGATTGTCGAGAGGCAGTGTGCTGCCTATTGCTTCTGAATTACCTCCTGCTAACATAAGACCTGTGATTGTTTTAAAATCTAATTATTTGGACATAAGGTTTTTGTTTTAACATTGATTTGTTGGTTTTTTGTTTTTTGACAATGAAGTTTTTTCTTTTGGGATTAGTGTGTTAATCAAGGTTTAGGATGGCCTTATGAAGTAGTTCTGCTCTGTTCCTCCAAATGAAATCTTTTGACTTGGAGAGGAACGGAGCTAGTGGTCTCACCCTAACATTCATTATCCCCTCCCCGATGCCATATTCAGTAGCCGTAGCTTTGTTGCACTGCTCACTGCCATGTAGCCCCCCCATTCACTTACGCTTATAGGTATTGAGTTTGACCCACTGTTAATTAAGTAGTAGTAGTAGTAGTAGTAGTAATAGAGAGATGTTCATGTCATGATCTGTTGTTCCGGATCAATGAATACATGATCAGCTACCGGATTCTCATTCTTCATGGCTTGCTTCTCCACTTGCCTTGCCTTGTTATCGGGATCAAAGTGAATTTCTTAGCCAAATAGAACCTTTGGTCAATAGTTTGTGCAGGCATCTTTGTTATGCCTCATATGTAATTTTTGTTCAGTGGGTTTTTTACTGTTCCTTGAAATCACATAATACAAGGACGGGAACAAATAAGTTCTCAATCTCTGCAAATAATTTTTTTTTTTTCCTTTTTCCTTTGGTAAGTAAAACAAAAATTGCCTAATTAAGATATTTGAGGAAAAAATAAATCTCTAATTTTAAGAAGGTTTGATTCTTTTCCACACATTTTTGTTTGCAACCCCATTAAGATAATCCTTCTCTCTCTAAGATAACCAGCTTGGTTAAGCAATTTTTTACTGAACAGTGAACAAACAATTGAATTCGGAATCTCAATATAACATTAAGCATAGTGAGGACTACTTCAAATAGAGTTGGGTGATTAAAAACAGAGGCAAAATGTCACAGCTGTAGGAGAGTCGAAGCCTCAGATGAAAGGGTGTAGTTTCACTTGTGATGAACACAGATGTTGGTATATGGCCATAGCAAATGAAGTGTTTTAAATATCAGCTAATTCATATTGTATTGGCGGATATGTATGAGGAATTTTGATTTCCTATACTGACATTCACCAATATATTTGCCGATACTAATACGTATCCTGACACCATTATTTAAAACCAAGGAGTGTGTGAGGGAGTTGTTTGACAGTAATTGCTGTTAAATGAAGTAGTCTCATTTGTGTCTTTCTCCGTGTGCCCCTCGTCTTTGTGTCTGTCTATGTATCTGTGGATGTTGTTTTATTGTTTGCTTAGCTGATTGCGCTACGTTCTTATTGTTTTGGCTAAATGCAGGAATCATATTAGCTTCAAAGGAATTTCGACTGCAACAGCCTAATCAGATACTGGCCGGCTGTTTCTTGAACGGAAAACAAAAGGACATTTACTTGTGTACAGTTAACGACATTTGTTAGAACTGATTGCATTAGAAGTAAACAATGTCGTTAGTTAGATCACAAGATCAATTTGCCAGATCATATGGAAATCCTAAACTCTATGCTTTAAATGAAAGCAGCGACGACTCTAGTATTTCCACTCCAATATTCAACTCTGACAAGCATAAGATCATGTACGAAACCGAATCTTACAGCAGCGAGAGTTATGACCCGAAGTACTTCCTCGACTCCCCAACAGAAGAATTTATGCATTCATCTAACTCTGCTGACTCAGTGAATCGATTCCACCCACAAGGTGTCTCTTCTTACAATCATCGGATGGCTGGTTCGAGGCCAGTCATGACTGCACAAAACCCATTTAACTCTTTTGTGGGTATAAGGCATCAGGATGGGTATCGACCCAATTTCGAGTCAGAATACTTGGAAGGTAAAAGTCCCAATGCCATAGACTACGATGAGGATAAGATGAGATTAAAGCTTCAAGAACTCGAGAGAGCACTTCTTGATGATAATAACAATGTTGAAGATGATGACGATGATGCTTTTGGCACCGATCAAAGCATGGAAATCGACAGTGAATGGGCCAACCCAATCTGTAATACACTTTTACACGACTCACCCAAGGAGTCTTCGTCCTCAGATTCCAATCTTACTACCATCAGCAGCAATAAAGAGATATCATTGACGTCCTCTCCTGCGACTCCCAAGCAGTTGCTTTTCAATTGTGCAGCGATGATTTCAGAAGGAAATGTTGCGGAAGCATCAACCTTGATAAACGATCTCCGACAGAGGGTCTCAATCCAAGGAGACCCATCACAGAGAATCGCAGCCTACATGGTGGAAGCTCTTGCAGCCCGTGTGGCTACCTCAGGAAAAGGTCTTTATGAAGCTCTGAAATGCAAAGAACCCCCGTCCAATGATCGATTATCATCAATGCAAGTTCTCTTCGAGGTGTGCCCATGTTTTAGGTTTGGATTTATGGCTGCAAATGGTGCGATTATAGAGGCATTTAAAGATGAAAAGAAGATTCATATAGTAGATTTTGACATAAACCAAGGGAGTCAATACATAACACTGATACAAACCCTAGCCAAGTTACCCGGTAAGCTACCACGGTTGAGGTTAACCGGGGTCGATGACCCTGAATCGGTTCAACGTGCCGTTGGGGGCCTAAATCTAATTGGTCAAAGGCTCAAGGAATTGGCTAAAACACTCGACGTTCCATTTGAGTTCCAAGCAGTGGCGGCAAAGACTGCGGCAGTCACTCCATCAATGCTGGACCGGCAAGCTGGGGAAGCACTTCTCGTGAACTTTGCATTCCAGCTTCACCACATGCCCGATGAGAGTGTTTCGACAGTGAACCAACGAGACCAGCTTCTCCGGATGGTTAAGAGCTTGAATCCAAAACTAGTCACTGTTGTCGAACAGGAAATGAACACCAACACCGCCCCGTTCTTGACTAGGTTTGTTGAGGCCTACAGTTACTATTCAGCAGTGTTCGATTCACTTGAAGCAACGCTTCCGAGGGAAAGCCAGGACAGGTTGAATGTAGAAAAGCAGTGTTTGGCACGCGATATAGTGAATATTGTTGCTTGTGAGGGAGAGGAGAGAATAGAGCGCTACGAAGTTGCGGGGAAGTGGAGAGCACGGATGATGATGGCTGGTTTTGCGGCATGTCCAATTAGCGAAAATGTGAGTGATGTGATTAGGAAGCTTATAAAGCAGTATTGTGAGAGGTTCAAGGTGAAGGAGGAGACAGGCGCGCTTCATTTCGGATGGGAAGATAAAATCTTGACAGTTGCTTCGGCGTGGAGATAATGGTTGTTGGAAACTTCTATCCGATCTAGCTTTTTGCTTAAATGTTCTCATTTCTTTGTAGCTATGGTTTTGTGCTGGATCAGGATGTGTTGTTATGACTCCCTTTAAATTGTATGTGGCACTGTAAGTTGTTATGGCCGACTTGTTTTCAATTATGTTCCCAACACAGAAACTAATCACAAAACTAAACACAAAAACAATGCACATGGATGATCAAGATTTTTATAGGATTTGTTAGTGGCGTTCATTTGCAAAAAAAGTTCTCTATACATCCATGTATATTGTGTGTTTGGTTCTGTGATTTTTGTTGACTTATTATTTGCTTTTCTTTTAACCATTTTCCCTTTGTGATATGTTGGTATGTAATTCAAAATGAGGTAGGTACTAGGTAGGGTTTGATGGTCAAATTTATTTTGGAAAGGCCTAAATTAAAGGAGGCTAATTGTTGACTTAAAACCAGATTTAACTATGAACCTGGTATTGTAGCAGTAGCTACTACTTTTTGTGCAAAATTTCTATGTCGACGCAGAAATCTCTCGGCAAAACAACTATCATGCACATCCTAAGCTGTGTATCACGGGTAACTCAAGTCACCTTGACTTGGTGGAGTAAACTCAATTGACTTGGTGGAGTTAAATCCATTAGACTGAATCGTAACTTTAATCACTTTGAATCGTAACTTTGAAGGTGCGGGCATGCCTGGTTCTATATCTCAAACTTAGATCAACAACAGTGGGGAAAGAGGAACTATTGGTTGAGCATTCCAAAATCTATGGGAGTTCCGTGAACAATGGACAAACTACACAAACATTCAATAGAGAACGATGGACAAACTACAGAATAGAGAACGACGGACAAACTACACAAGCATTCAATGGATTAAAATAGGTAAAAAGTCATTATAAGTTATCAATATGTTAAAATAGTAAAAAATTAAAAAAATGAGATTTACGTGTAGGTCTTAATAAGTAGATTTACTATTCAATAGATCTTGTGAAAATTAATGATATTTTTCTTCAAACATTATTAAAAAACACCACTAATTATTAATTTCTAGCGACAATTTAAAATTGTCATAAAAAAATGTTACTAATTATAAGCGGTTTTGAAAAAGTCACAAAAAGTCGCAATTTTTAATTTTTAGTAACAGTTTGGAAACTCATCACAAAAAATGTCATTAATTGTAATCTTTTGTGACAATTCATAAAAATGTGACCAAAAAAATCACTAATGGTTAGTTTTTAGCAATGTATGCAAAAAATTATTTTTAGCAACGATTTTATTATGACTAATTTTCAATAAGGCTTTAGGGAATTAAGTCTAACTATTACGACTTATTCCCTTAAAAAAAAATCTCTCTATTTTTTTGCCTTTCTTTTTTATTTTATAAAAGTTAAAAAATCAATTAAAATAGTCAATTTTCAAACGAAGACTTTACACATTGACTATTCAAAAAAACATTGGGGTTGGAAGGAGAAAAAATAAAAAGATTGAGTATATACTCAACATTTACCATAGTTAAAATTATTATCGAGTTCAAATCCATAACCTCAAGATTCACGCTGTTCCTTCCGATGCCTAGGGAGGAAAAAAAAAAGACTTGTACCTTAACCTACTTCTAGTGCTTGGAAATGCAATTGGAATTAATGAAAAATGAAATTTAATAGAAAATATTTTTTATATACAACGGAAAATAAGTTTGTGAACGGAAAATGTTTTTTATTTTTGAAAAGTGAAAAATATTTTTGAAATTAAAATCTTACCAATACTAATACACTATCACCACCTTCACCCCATCACTTCTATCACCCCACTACTACTACATTCACTACCTCACCACTGCGCTACCACCGCTACTAATACATCTATTAAAATTGCAACCAAGTATTAAAATATATATATATATATATATTATTTTTTTACCAAAACAAATATAGCTTAATTTTATTCACCATGAAATTCAATTTGTTGAATCCAATTATGTTTCTCCACCATGCAAGAAGAGATACAACCATCTCAAATCACCAAGTAATTTCCACAATGAGATGGACGACAAAGCACCACTGGGGGTGGTGGTGGAATGAAAATGTGCCTTTTTTCCACACACGTGAACAGGCTCAATTTTTGAAGGACACGATTAGTGATCCGTTTTTTCAAATGATTGAAACTGACTGCGTTATATTTCAATTGTGACTCTGTTTCCTATACTGAGGATTAGTACATTCCTATCTTGTTCCGGTGGCTAGTCACTTCTTTTGAATTAGGTTAAGTCTGACCCACAATTGATTATTCTAAGATTAGAGTCCACATATGCAATAATACCCTCATGAAACATCTTTTTTTTTTTCTTGTTCAAAAAAAAAAAAAACAAACAAACAAATAACAGATAGACGACAAAGCGAAATGGTTTTTAATAAAAACTAAACCATATGGACATACAACCCCACCCCACTCCCACCCTAAAATAAATAATAAAATAATAAAACAAACAAACAAACAAAAACTAAGAGAAATGGCCTTACAATCCTACCCAATAAAAACACCAAGAAAGTACTACTAGAATACTATAATCAACCTTTAAAGTTTGAAAAAAAAATTAAAAAATTAAAAATCTAATAAACCCCTTAAATTTCACACAATTATACTAATTTCTCTTTTAGTAAGACAAATACATTAGTAAGACAAATACAGTGGTGTGTATACATGGATAATCAATAAGTCTAACAAAAGATTGGTAAAAAAGAAACAAAGTATTATATGAATTAAATAGCATTCCAGGAGTACAATAAAATTATTTCAAACTTCTAAAGTTCGGTACATTTTTGTCAAAACTCAAGAAATATTAGTGTATTTTGTTCTCTACTGGCAAAGAAGAAAAATCCTTATCAGCTTAGAGATTGTTTCCCATACAAAGATCAAACCACAATATCTTTTTCTATGAAAAGAGTAACACAAGTCAAAAGAAGATGATAACAAAGAAAAAGAAGAGCAAATACGGTTCATGAACTTGGGAAGGGATTTGGAAAGAGAAGGAGAAAAGATGGGTGAAATGTGTGTGATCCTTTCCAAATCCCTTCCCAAATTTATGAACCAAGCACTGCAAAAAGGAACATTGAGCAATTAACACATGTCCCTTGCAAATGCAAAATTTGTTCAGCTTCACTTTCATGAACTGTTTAAATCAAAATATATATATATATATATATTCAAAGCAGGGGTGTATGTATATAAGCACTTGTCTACATTACATAGATGATGATCCTCGAAGGCAAGACCGAGACAACCATAATGATACTCAATGTTTTACACCCACAAAACACAAACCTACTTCAGCTTGGGCCTGCAGCTCTTCCAAGACCTTTACAAGTTTCTCACGGCACAAAGCAGTATCAATCTGCTGTGTAAGCATTTTCCTCAATCTTCATCCATGTACAAGAAGGGAGAGAGGGAGACAGACAGAGACAGAGACAGAGAGAAACGCATCAAAAACTTACTAACCTAATAAAACATTCAAAACTGAAAAGGCACAGAAGGAGGAACAACTAAAAGAGTGCCCTATATCTGTCACTTTTTATCACATAAATTGTTTTCATTTCCAGTACTTAACATGGTTGAGGACATGATATAAAATTTCACCCTGTTTACTAGCTGTAGTGCATGATATCATTCTAATAAGGGATCAAGTTGAACAACTACACTTGCACTGTCTTCACACATCGACAAAAAGTAAATCCGAACATTGTCACCTTAATGTTATTTATATTGTTTTAAGTATTTCACCAGAATGGTAATGTTGCTATTACTTCTCAAGTAATCATCAAAAGGGGGATCGAATGATGAAGCACAGACTCTTTGGAGTAGTGTTGGTTTGTGGGTTGTTTGGTTGGAAGGGAATGATAATTTTTGAGGATAAATATGATGATTTAGGGGCATCTGAGAAAAAAAATTGGCTATTTAGCTACTTTTTGGGCTTCAATATCCTATTTTAAAGAGATTCCTTTATTTTTTTTATTTCTAATAATTAGAGAGCCATATGTAGCTACAGATATTTTCCCGTATCTTCTTTTTATTTCTTTTGTTCAGCTGACACCTTGTCCACCTTAACTGTACTTTTTCCTTCAATTAATAAAATAAAATTCTTCTTCTTGTTGCTGGTCCAAAAAAAAAAAATTAAACAAAGCTTTTTATAACATTAGAATGTAACTGGGGAGAAGTTAAAAGGGTAAAAGTTGAATCAAACTTTATAAAGGACATAATTGCAATTAAAAATGCAAGGGAAATCATACAAATGGAATAAAGATTTAGAAAAAGGACATAATAGGTGTATTAGTAGGATAATGGAAATGAAATATAACATGGGTATGCATATATATAAAACAGTATTACTGTAATTACAAAAAACATGAGGGTGAAACTGGCAAAAATGGCATCATTGCTGCTGCTCATCACAATGCAAGCAAAAGTCCAGCAGAAAACAAACAGCTGAGTGAAAATGGAAAGATCATAACAAAGTACAGCCAGTAATAATCAATGCAGGAATAAAGAATACATACCTGTGAACGATTGCCGTGTCCCCATGACCAGTGCAAATAACAATTATGGCATTTGTTGGTAAATTGGAGTGGAGACATTGGATTCTAGCATCCAAGCGACTTAAAATGTCCTTTAGTTCAGAGGAGACCTTGTATTTGATGCCATTTCTGCTAGTAGATTTCTTTTTGCACGTAAGCAGTGATATCATTTCAGCAAGCCTTCCATTTACCTTCTCTGTGTCCTCTGCTTGTTTCTTGAAATAGGAATTTAATTCCGAAAAGTGGGCCCAGACAAAGTGTACCTTTTTGTTTGTAACCTAATTTAATGTAAAAAAACAATTACAAGAGAAAATTAATGAGTGACAATACAATTTTAAAAAACAGAATCTGGAAACTATACCTCTTTACTGGCCTTCAAAAGGGCCTTGTCATCTGAAGATACTGGAATGGCATGGGATGACTCAGAAGCATATCGCTTCACTATGGAAATATTATCAATCAAAGTTGAGGCCTTGCCAGACTCACTTAAAACCGTAAGGAGCTTCTTCCGCGCTAATGATGGAGGTGAAGCAAAATCTGGTCCTAATTCCAAAATATTAGAGTCAAAGGCATACACACTGGTTGAGAAACTCCTCAATATTTAGTTGGAAGCAATAATTGTATGCAACACATGCTATCAGCCTACATTACATTATAAAATTCATTTTTCTTCCCCTCACTACTGACCATCCATTTCATTCCTTATAGATAAAAGGTTCATATCACTGCTTTATAATTTTGTATCAAGCATAACTACCTAAATGAGCTGTAAAATAAAAGATCTGTGGCTGCAATGACAAAGTAAGAATGCTCTAAAATCAAATGAATACATAAAAAAGTCAAGCCAGCGCACTGAGGGAGGGATGGCCACAGAATAATGCAGGAGTCACTTGAGTAGTATCAGGACGAAGACCATTTAAGAAGTCAAATTATTAATAGTGGATTACTTGAGGATGTGTACCTAAAGAAAGAATAAAATTATTTAATACTTGATTCACAACCATATTGTACGGCTCAGAATGCTGGAATATCAGAAACAATACAGAATGTTAAAATCCACCTACTCTCCACCTACTTCACCCACTTAAACCTACTCCACTAAACCTAACCCACTACACCACTACCACCTCCACTTCTCCACTAAACCTAACCCTACACACTCACCCTCTTCTATATATAGGAATCATGAATCATTGTAATATAAATCAATAAAAATATCAATCAATAATACAATTCTCTTTATACATTAAATTTCAACATGGTATCAGAGCAAGGTTAAGAAGCTAGTAATTTTGCTTCACCGGCGGGCGGCAGTCTCACCTTGGCCGCCCGCCGGACCTCAACACATACCTCTTCTCCAATCACCGCCAATAACCACTGCAGCAACTCAAACCACTGCTAGCTCGAATTGACGCCAACTCTTCCAGTAACTCCAAGAACCGAGTAGAGGCCCCTCCAATCTGCATCTTCTCCATACTTATGTTGCGAGTTGCGGATAACAGATTTTCCCTTCTCATCCTTTCACTTGCAGAGACCCCAGTTGTAATGAGATCCATACCAATGGTTCCAGTGGAGTGATCTGTTGCAGACTGTTGCAATGCAACTTCCAGAAGACGAAAAGCCTCCATCACATCTTTCTTCTCCACCAATTCTGAGAAGCGAATCCGAGCCAATGCTTCACTGAGACGTATCAGACTCTCAATTTGCCTAGGTGTTGCTGTTATCACCTTTTTGCTGCTGCCTGGGAAGTTTCCTCTTCTTCTCATCTCAACATAACCTCGTGTCAACTGTTCTGCAGCTTCATCAGATAACTGTGGGTGTATATGATTTCTGGCATAGCTCACATATGCAGTTAATGTCGGAAGGTCTAAGGCATCCTCTTGTGAGGTCTCAGGATTCTCAAAGTGTAATGCAACAATATGTTTTGCAAGGCGCCTGTCTGTCTGTTCATCAGCCTTGTCGAGAATTAAGTAAATCAAATCAAACCTGGACAACAATGTAGGAGGAAGGTGTATATTGTCAATTACTGACAAGCGGGGATTGTATCGTGAGCCACTTGGATTTGCACAAGCCAATACTGATGTTCTAGCATTAAGTGAAGCAATTATACCTGCTTTTGCTATTGAAACAGTTTGTTGTTCCATCACCTCATGTAACATGCTCCTTGCACTGTCAGACATTTTGGAGTAAGTCTCTAGGTTCGTGGATCCGAACCCTTTCGAGGCTTAGAGCGATTCAATCCGTTTGATGGCGATAAATCTGGGCCCACCGATTCTTGGACTTGCAATAAATTCGTATCTCTCTCAGAAATCTCTCTCAGAAAACAGAGTGTTACAGAGTATCTCTCTCAGAAATCTCTCTCAGAAAACAGAGTGTTACAGAGTATCTCTCTCAGAAATCTCTCTCAGAAAACAGAGTGTTACAGAGTATCTCTCTCAGAAATCTCTCTCAGAAAACAGAGTGTTACAGAGTATCTCTCTCAGAAATCTCTCTCAGAAAACAGAGTGTTACAGAGTATCTCTCTCAGAAATCTCTCTCAGAAAACAGAGTGTTACAGAGTATCTCTCTCAGAAATCTCTCTCAGAAAACAGAGTGTTACAGAGTATCTCTCTCAGAAATCTCTCTCAGAAAACAGAGTGTTACAGAGTATCTCTCTCAGAAATCTCTCTCAGAAAACAGAGTGTTACAGAGTATCTCTCTCAGAAATCTCTCTCAGAAAACAGAGTGTTACAGAGTATCTCTCTCAGAAATCTCTCTCAGAAAACAGAGTGTTACAGAGTATCTCTCTCAGAAATCTCTCTCAGAAAACAGAGTGTTACAGAGTATCTCTCTCAGAAATCTCTCTCAGAAAACAGAGTGTTACAGAGTATCTCTCTCAGAAATCTCTCTCAGAAAACAGAGTGTTACAGAGTATCTCTCTCAGAAATCTCTCTCAGAAAACAGAGTGTTACAGAGTATCTCTCTCAGAAATCTCTCTCAGAAAACAGAGTGTTACAGAGTATCTCTCTCAGAAATCTCTCTCAGAAAACAGAGTGTTACAGAGTATCTCTCTCAGAAATCTCTCTCAGAAAACAGAGTGTTACAGAGTATCTCTCTCAGAAATCTCTCTCAGAATATCTCTCGCAAGTTTTTTTGCCTCAGCCTCAGCCTCTGTCTTATAGCCGAGGCAGCCACGCGCATCGCGCGCCTCTTGCCACCAGACGACAAAACGGGCGCGCAAGCCAAGGCGCCCACGTGCCTTGCCATCATGTCCGGCACACCTTTTTATGACTTGGGCTCGCCTTTTGATGGCACGTCTTTTTATGGATTGGGCACGCCTTTTGATGGCACGCCTTTTGAAAGATTGGGCACAACTGTCACAACATTGTCTGCTACAACGGTCCGACATGACCCCATAAACTGTCTTCTACATCGGTCTGACACCGCCATCCAGTGTCCTCTACACCGTTATGACACCACCATACTGTGTCCTCTACAACGTTATGACACCCCCATACAGTGTCCTCTACAACGTTATGACACCACCATCCAGTGTCTTCACCAATGGTCTGACACGACCATACAGTGTCACCTATCCTCTTTTATTTTTGTGTATTTTCTTGTTTTGTTACTCTCTCCAAACTCAAGTTGGTTAGTTCCTATCCCCCTTGAGTTTGCGGGGGCTGTTAAAATCCACCTACTCTCCACCTACTTCACCCACTTAAACCTACTCCACTAAACCTAACCCACTACAACCTCCACTACACCTACTCCTTACCTACTACACACTCACCCTCTTCTATATATAGGAATCATGAATCATTGTAATATAAATCAATAAAAATATCAATCAATAATACAATTCTCTTTATACATTAAATTTCAACACAGAACTTCTCAGTCAAAGTTTTGGTGACACAAGGAGACAACAGGGGAACCAGTGTTTCTCCATAGTTCACAAGAGAAAAAGGAGTCTTTGCAGCATAGATAATCAAAGACAAGGAATCTCAAATATCGTCAAATAAATGACAAATTGGAAAAGTTTCAATGTTTGGAGTGCATTCTGGATGGAAAGAAATGGAAAGAAATATATATATATATATATTAGATGTTTTGGGGTACATGGACTGCATGAGGGGAAGATGCAGCCTCAATTTAGAGATTGCTTGCCCTTCAACTGCTTGTTCTACTCTAGTTTGACTATCTTCATTTCATGTTTCTTTTTGGAGAACAATGTCTACCTATGTTTTCTATGTACTCCAATCACTAAATCTAATAAGTAAAAGACACCACAAAGGACCAAAGGTGGGGAAAGGGTAACTAATACCATGATGAAGACTCAAAGGGCATGTTTGATTGGAAGGATTAAAGTATGGGATTGGGATTATTAATCCGTGGGCCCAATCATCCTATGTTTGTTTTCACAAAGGACCAAAGGTGGGGAAAGGGTAACTAATACCATGATGAAGACTCAAAAGGTTATGGAATGAGGTGGTAGGAAACATTTATGCAACTCATACTAGAGTAACACTTCAAGAAGGCCAAGGTCGAAAAAATATGAAATGGAGGAACCATTCTTGCGTAGGTCTTAGATAATCTGAATAGCTATGATAACAGTGACGAGCTAACATGAGGCATAAATGCCCACATATAGTCGCAGAATTGGCACAAATCAGGACAGTGACTACAATGACGACAATTGCAATGATTGATCAACTCTAAATACCCTTTCTTAAGATGCACACACAAGTGATCCATCATCTAAAAAAATTAACAAATAAAAATCACCTTCCAACTATCAACCCTTTCAGTGCAACATTAATCAACTTTTTCAATATCCTGCTCAACTTACAAGTTACAATGCAAAGACGTAAAGACTTGATCTTAAGCAATGATTTAAGCATTAATTTAATTCTCCATTAAGGTCAAGAATATCCTATTCAACATTTAATGTGAACACAAGTTAACACCTGATATTAAGCAACTTTTTGATAATGTAAATGCATAAAGAAGGCAGATCACTTACCATGCCTGATCTTTAACAATGCCAGTTCCATAGCAGCTCTTGCATCTTCTATACTATCATGCCCACTTCCCGACTCCTGTATCTCCCTGTAAAGGAATCTTCTGGTGAGCACACGAAGTGCAGTTTTGTAGGATCCACCACGGGGGTGCTTGTACAACACTGCTGTATCAATCACCAGATTGTGAGATATCTTCAATGCCAACAAATCATTCTCCAACGAATGCCCAACTAGAATAGTCTCTTTATAGACTAGTTGTAGAAAATCTTCCTGAAAATAGGAAGCAACTGTAAATAAATTAAGAAACAACATTTATGATTTAAAGTGAGAAATAATGAAAGTACCCATGTCACATCTAGTACAGATGTATAACGTTACTTTTCTTACATGGAATTTGAAATTACAAAATACAAACATGAAATGTTTAATAAATCCATGACAACCATAATAGTTGTTTATAAGTTGAGCAAGCATACAGCACACAGGCACATGCATTGCACACATTATTCATGTCCTAGTTCTTCTAGAATTCGTTATGCAGGTAGACACAACATGGTATCTAAAGTTAGCATAAAAAGAAGGAACATGAGTCAATAAAAAACCTGAATATCTTCAAGAGTCGTGGTCACCCCACTCAACATTTCACTTGTGATTCCACTATACCTGCATAATCCAAAAACATGCTTAACCAAAAACAAATTATAAAATTTGAGAGAAAGAAAGTGCAATTTGAGAGAGAGAGAAAAATATACCTAGTGTTGTAATCAATGATAGCATTTGATGGTTTAACCAGTTTATCTAGAACTACCTGTGAGAAATGAAAAATAGGATTACTCAAAGATACAAGAAAAACATTAATAATAAGCGCAAGGCCCCAAAAATACTAATTATGCAGCAAGTAAATTATAAAAAAATCAGGATATCGATCCAGACAAATCACAATCACAACACAAGCTGCACATTGCCAAACTCCACATGGAAGAGCTTTTTGGCTTTATTTCAGCTCCTAAAGAGCTTCCTGCTTTTGAAGAAAACCACGATGCTTTTTGCTGAGATCCTTCATATCGTGGTGTGTTTGAGGTGAAATTTTTAGAGCTTTCCTAGTTGACGATGGAGCATCCTTCCCGTAGAAAGGGGATTGGTCAGATGGAGCTCCATCTGAAGTGACCTTCTTTGTTTGGAATGCAGCTCATAAGAAAAATTTTACCATTGATAATCTTATTCAAAGATATCATGTAATAGTCACTTGGTGTTGCATGTGCATGTTTGATGAGGAGAATGGTCTGCACCTGCTTTTACGTTGTAAGGCAGTAAGCAAGATGTGGGATTTGAGTCTTGTTTATTTTGGAGTGTTTAGGGCACCTTCCCTAGAGGAATAGCGAACTTTATGAATGCTTGGTGGGGTGGCAGGGTAGGAAAGAGGAGGAGAAAGGCTGTATGCCTACTGTGAATCATTTGGGGGGCACACAATAGGACTTTTTGTGGAGTTGAAGAGGCTATGTATAGTCTGAATCTGAAGAGTCATTTTGTAGCTATTTTGTATAGTTGGTTTTCCCGGGAGGGGAATGTTCGACCTAATCTAGACCAATATTTGGATTTTGCTGATGTTTTAGATTTGTAAGAAGTACACCTTTTTGTGGCGCTATTGGGGCTCTTTGATTGATTTCCTGATTCACATGGTTGGCATCCCCTTTATACTTCTTACATTTTAATGCAATCACTTGTATATATAAAAATGAAAACAAAATAAATAAAAAATTTTGTTTTTTGGTCAATTGGTGCTTCTTGTATTGTGCCGATGCGGAGCCGGTGGACCATTTGCTGGTTCATTGCCCGGTCGCTTCCCGTCTATGGATACTTGTTGTTGCAACCTTTGGCTTGACTTGGGTGCAGCCGCATTTAGTTAAGGAAGTTCTACAAAGCTAGGCTGGGGGTCGTGTTGGGAGGAGGCGTCGGAAGGCATGGATGCTCGCTTCTCATTGTATTCTATGGTTGGTGTGGTTGGAGCATAATAGGCGTGTCTTCCAAGGGGTATCTCATTCGGTCCCTTGGTTAGAGAGTCACCTTCTTACGGTTTTGTATAGTTGGGTGACACAATCGGTTAATCCTGATGTTTTGGTTTTTTTAGATTTTGCGGAGGATTTGATTTGTTAATTTTGTGTGTCCTGGTGGCTTTGAGTTTTGTATCTCTTTGCATCTTCTTGATGCTTTTCTAATAAAGTTTGGTTATTTATCAAAAAAATAAATTAATTAATTAATTAAAAAAAAGGTAGAAAAATAATTGTAACGTTTGTGGCAGAATCAAGGTGAGATAAATAATATACAAAAACTGACAAAACCTCAAGAGTAATAAAAGGCACAAGTCAATGATATTAAAGCCAAGCACTAAATGAAAAGCAAAATTATCAAAATAAAAATAAACAATTGTCTACTAAGTAAACATACATGTACACGTGCATACTGATTTAAACAACACTGGAAAACAATTAGACAATTATATAGAAACATCTAGGTGAGATAAAATTGATCAACATGGAGGAAAGAATCTCTTAACCCTTACCATTCCACCCAAAATCTAGAAACGAAAAGAGAAATGGAGCAAAGTAAAGGTATCTAGGAAAATGGGTTTGGCATACCTGTCCTTTAATATCAACCAGTGTTACTCTTGTGAGCTCGAACCCCTCACTGGTGATGCACTAACAACACCGGAAAAAGAAGAAGGAAAAAAATAAAGAAGAAGAAAGATTGACCAATATAAAATTGAAGAATGACATTTCACAATTAAATAAATCATAGTCTGAAAGTAGATTGATGACATATTTGTCACTTGTCAGTGAAGACAGCATATATGTGCTATTTGTCCTCATTAACAAAGTGAGATTTGAGTAAACCAAACACTAAAACTACTTGAGATTTAAGTAACAGATACAACTTCCATAAAAAAAACAACAAAAAAAAAGCACAACAACTTTTGGTAAACTTCTATGCAGTGGAAGCTTTGGAAGTAATGATTGATACTTGTGGCCCTACCATCTCACAGTCAAGAGCCAAAATGTCATGGACAGGATTTCCTGGAGGAGAAGGAAGAGTTGAAAGAAAACCTGCATTTTGTAGATATGAACTTAAGTATCTACCGAATGAGTAAACCAGTATAGGAGAAAAATAGGGGAAATTACAAATAAGTGTAGAAGACCAAAAATAATTACAAACACCTGGGGGTGCAACTTTTTCTAAGCAAAGAAACCACAGAAAAAGTTGCACCCCCCACCTTTTGGTAAATAATTTCCCCACTTCCCACTGTCTTGTAATTTCCCCGGAAAAATATATATACACATAAGAAAATGAATTACATTGATAATACAAATGTATAAATGAAAAAGGAAATCAAATATAAGATTCCTGTCACCTGGTTGATCATGGAAGTATCCATTATCTTCTAATTGCTTTGTTGTAAGTGTGTAGTACGTAATAGGGAATGGTATATCTTTCATAAGGTCACTAAATGATGGATTCTCGGAACCAGAACTAAAACCTCCTGCATAATGGGGATAATAACAACTTATTAATCATTTGGAAAATGTATAAGGTCTTCACATGGCATGCAAATTCCAATTGCTTCATAAAACAATCTGTGATAGTGTGATGAATGGAAGTGATAAAAAAATCTATTCCCTTTATCTCTCTCCATTTTCAGTCCAACATTCTGTATAAACCTAGAATACCGGTTCCCCTAATTGATAATAATAACTGCAATGCTAACATTCGATAAGTTTGTTAATAATATTTGTCTGCAGATTTTGCTCTTTTCAGTGGTGAGAATCCATAGATTTATTCTAAGTGAGACCAGATTACTCTAGGTGAGAATCCTAGAAGCCACCTCCTCCTTCTCCTCCATAGATTTATTCTAAGTGTGACCAGAATTACTCTAGGCGAGACTCCAAAACTCTTATCCTTTGATACTAAAAAAATATAACCTAATTACCCTACCATTCCAGTTCTAAAACCCTAGAATATTCTCTCCTGTCTGGAAATTCCTGCAAGCATTTCATACCAGAATCCAGCCTAACCTTCGACCAAATTCAAGCAAAAACCCATCCTAAACCTCAATTTTTCTTTCTCCATTAATAAACCCTGTACATCGAAGCCCTAATCCACCATATTTTATTGCAGGATATAGCCTTTTTGGGCTGCATCCTACATCATCCTAATAAAAAATCCAATAAACCTCATAAGCCAACTAATTTCTTCATGACCATAGGAAGTTTTAAGTATCCTTAATCAGGAGTGATATTTATTAAAATTAGTGACAGACCTTGTTCGGATGTTTGGGCAGATTTCCTCAAAACTGAATCAGCTCCATCCCTTTTTCTTTTGAACTTGCATGTAAGGAGTGCATCTATAGTGTGCATTCCATCTGATACACAGCTAGCACAGAAGAAACACCAACAACCATAATTACAGAATAGAGATATAATACACAACACTTGCCATTAAAAATAAACAAAGAAGAAGAAATTAATCAATTATAGTAATTACCAACCTAAGAGCCAATACTGGCCTTGGAATACCACAACAGTCTTTAAAACCTTTAAGTATTTTAGACTGTGATAAGTACAAGCCTGCATCAAGGCCAGGGACATAAAGCATAACCACTTTTGGAATCAGGGGCTTGTTCTGCAAATCAAAATAATGCTATTTCAGTAGCCATACAAAATTATTTCTTTTGCAAATCTATAAGCCATAGTTCCAGCATGTGCATGGCATTGTAAATAGTATAACACATTACACAAACGATGCATAATTTCAATCAAATTCTTAAAAATTTGTCAATTTGAAAGAGAAGAACCATCAGTATTAACTTCCATTCGGGTAAACATATTGCACAATATTTTTATTCCAAGCTAACCCTGAAGATGAATAAATTTAAATTTTGGTGTGAAGCAGTAGATTATCCAGAACAAGTCCATATTCAGTATTCCACCAAAATTAAATGATGCTAGACAGCACTAGAAAGCCCTTGGTTGATCATATGGTGGGTAAAGGTCAAAAGGTCATGAGAAGTTAATTTCGTGTCTTTAAAAGGTAGAAGAAACATTATAGGCTTTCTACATGAAAAAGAAATAAAATTCATGCCATTTAAAAGGTGATAGGGTGTTCGAAATCTAACATGCCAGAAATCTTGTACATATATTAATTTTAAGTATTTAGGTGCTAAATTAAAGGTAAAAGTTAGGGGTAAAGAAAAATTATGTGTTCACTACCTTGATAAAAACCCATGATGGCATGAATCCTTCAGCTAGCACCCACATAACAAGTCCTTGAACGTCCTGCTTCATCATGAAAAATCCAATCAAAAATTGTAATTCTCACACCAATTAAAATTTCCAGAAGTTTGGACAGTTAGTGCTACCCACTTGCAAATTCAAAGTTGAACCAGCTTCGGGTGCCTTAAAAACAACATCTACTTTCCCCTGCATGACATGCATAACTCGAGTTCAATCCATGTCCAACCAACCAAGAATAACATCATTGGTGGATGAAATTAACTGCCCTTAATTAGTTAATGTTAAGCTCACATCCCAACGCCAAACTATTTAGCAGTTTTTGCCAATTTAAAAGTAGTTTCTAGTTATTTATTGTGAAAGATACTTCAATTTTTTGTCTCAAAGCAAGAGAAATCATTCGAAAAATGCTAACCAATCAATGGGACAAGGGAAGCAGCCAAATAAGCAGTTTCAGCAATTCCTGTGGCAGAATTAGCAATAACAATATGATGATTCAATTGCTATTTTAGTACTCCGTCAGAATTAACTAACAAAAAGCTCCATAAGTTCTTTAGTTATTGCCACTTTAAACATTGGCAATCTCAACAATATAGCTCTTTACCAATTCCAGGCCGACATTCATAAACTCTAGTTAAGAAATTCAATGGGTATATCTATATCTAAATTCTCACAACCTAACAGCAACTTAAGGGAAGAAAATTCAAATAAATTAAATCACATTAAGAACTATTTGGTTTATCAGAAAGCTGTAAATTAAGGAAAAATAAGTTTTCTGGTTCTCCTTTCTGATCCATAACAAATGTAAATCACACCAAAGAGAAATACTTGTACAAATAATCCATTTTTTTTTTTTAACCCCACAAAGAGCAAAATAATGGAAAATATGGAGTTTTAAGTCTCCGATCATTGCATTTATTCCGGTTTCCAAGCAACCAAACAGACCATTACTTATCCTTCCAATTAATGGATATGGTACTTTAATATCAATAATTATCATTTCAATTTTACCTTTTTGCTTAACAAATATATATTTACATGGACAGAGCCACATTGTGGCCCCCTTAAATATTCAACAAACCCTATATATGACATTATTCAAAAGTGTTCAATTATATGTTTCTACAAACTGAGTGCATTATTTGATGAATTGGTATTGAAAATTTATCTAATTTTTTTTTTTAAGTGTAATTTGACAAGTTTGAATTAATCAGTCTTCTCTATGTTATTAGAAATTGATAGTCTTACAATATATGGTGTGAAATTTGATTTTAAGAAGTTCTATACAACAAAAGATTTGACGCTGACGATAACTTGTTGACAAACCCATTGAATAAAATTTGTGTTTACACCATTGTTTGGACCCCCCTTCAAATTAAAATCCTCAGTCCATCCCTACATAAATATATGTATGCATACACATAAGTACCATAAGCATATAATCAGCCAAAAAAAAAAAAAAAAAAAGCTAATTAATCCTACCCAATCAGCTTTTGCACTTCCAAACCTAATTTTACTTGTTTTAACTAAGGTTACTGAGCACTTTACATGAATTGTAATTTTAATTTGTTCAAAGACCCAGTTTAACCAAGAACATTGTGATTAAAAAAAAAAAAAATTAACAATGAACATCAGTACAAAAACAAATCAATCAAATGCCAAGTATATATACAAGTGTATGCATAAATGGTAAAAAAAATTTAGACATAAATGAAGGATGGAGAAAAAAGGAGAGTACTTGTGGACCGTAGATGTCAAAGAAAGTAGTATTCTTTGTGGATTTATCTTCCTCCTCAGAAGCTTCGGTTTCGAATTTGTGGTTCGGAGAAGGCATGATCAATATGGCTGCGTTCGAGTTTTTGTTGTTTGTAACTCTGTGGTCTGTTGATTAAATTGTCTGTCTAGACATGGAATTTTTGGGGTTAATATTAATGTGTTGATGATATGGGTCGGGTCTAACTACACCAGGTGCTAATTAACCTAATTTTGGGTATAAATAGGGTTTGCGCCAAAAAATTTAAGTCATGAATTTATAAATTGGTTCAATTCATTGTATATTGTACAGTTTGATTTAGATTTTTTCAATGCAGCATTTGTATTTCACGATTCGGTTTCATAATTTTTATAATTATTATTTTAGTTTAAATTGAATCGGATCATTTAAATAAATACATATAGATGTGTAATTTCATATTTATTTTTCTTGAGAAAAAATTAAAAAAAAAACAAAGATAGTTAATATATGTAATCTTAAATTTCCCTCTCATTATGAGATGGGCTGCAAGGGTAGTATATCGCAAGGGTGGTGGGTTGTGGGAGGACGAGGGGGGTGGTGAGGCAGTAGGGTTTGAGGGACTATAGGGGGATTGTGATGGTAGCTAATTGGTAAAGATAGAAAGATGAAAAAACGTGGTGATAGAGGAAGAATCTTTACGGCCACGGTTGGTGGTGTGTAGAGGTGCTTATTAAAAGATTAAGGCCTCGTTTGGCAAGAGGTTATTTTAATCAATTAGTCAAAAAGTTACTAATTTAGCTAAAAAGTCAACAACCCATACCAAAAAGTCAAAGATTCTCTTTTCTCTCTACTTTTTGCACATCTTTTCGTAATTAGCCAAAAAGTTATCCCAAACATACAAGTTTTTTTTACCTACCTTTTTAGCCAAATAGCCAAAAAGTTACTAAATTAGCCTGTTCCCAAACGAGGCCTGAGTTTAAAAATTCATTTGACAAACATAAATGTAATTGAAAAAATGAAACAACAATGTGTACGGAAATAAATGATAGAATGAAAATAGAACTAACATTCATTTAACCCCTTGTCTAGCTTGTTTATATTTTATTTCATATGCTTCAACAATAATAGACAAAGAGTCTAATTGTGATTTTAACTATTTAGCATTTTGTTCAATTTTGTTAAAAAATCATCGAAACAGACGGAAGTGTCAACACGTTCTATTCAACACAATCAAAAGTCAATTTTAAAGTTAAAAAAATAAATAAAAATACACTTTCTTCATCTTTTCATCCAAAAACTTAACTAAATTAGTAGATATTTAGATATATAAATTATTAGATATTTATTAATTAATATATTTTATTTAATTGTACATATTATTATAAAAATTCAATTCTAAATTAATTTAGTATTTGACTCAAATTTAAGTTTAATTAAGTTAATATTTGACTAAATTTAAAATTAGGTGAAAATTTAGAAAAGAAATTGTATTACCAATTGAGAAAGAGTAGATAAAAGTAAGAAGAAAATATAAAGGTAATTTTGTCATTTAAAATTTATTAACATTGCATTTTAAGGGTAATTATGTTTACACCACAAAAGAAGCCCATTACACCCTTCCATTTTTATTTTCTTATTACAATTTTGTCATCTCTGTAAAATTATCAATTGATCTCCAAATCCTAAGAATTGAACACAATTTCTCACCTTATCTACCACCCTTCACTACTGCTCTCTTTTCTCCATTCTTCTTTTACCTCCGGTAGCCTTCTCCTTATGTTTTTCTCACATCTGATAGTCCTCTCTCAACCCTAAAATACCATTTCTCCTACTTTTGGTAGCTCCTTGTCACCCTTCCAAATTTTTGTTATACATTTTCGTTGATACAGGTTTTACTAGCCGTTCAATTCTAGTTCGCCAAATACATGGCATTTATCTAGTTCTAGGCTGTCGAACGTGCAAGATGTGTCCAGTTATAGGATGCTAGAACATAATGTTATTCCCCAGTGGTTGTGTGAGTGTAAATTAAATGACTAAATAAAATAAACAACAAAATAATTTAATAAATTAAATTCTGAATTAAATGCTAACAAAATTTATAAGTCGAGACTTGTATCGGACACAATTTTCTTAACGTAGATTTCATCATCGCTTCGGTGCTTCGAGATTTACCGGCGTCTAGTTCCCGGGATGCAACGACTACAACTTGATTCGCAGCACTACAAAATCAAGTTTGGTGAACCAAAACTTTGTTATAACTCTCTTTTTTTCTTCCTAAAGATTAAATGATAGACAGATGCAGAAGACAAGATGAGAACTAAAAGGGAAAAATAAGAAATGCTTTGAAAAATTGGATCCAAAGAATTACTGGAATGGCAGGCTATTTATAGGAAATTGGTGGCTTTTCTAGATAGGTGTCAACAGATAGAAAAACCTGTTCGGACAGATTCAACAGGTAGAAAAACCTAATCGGCTGGATTCAACAACTGAAAAACCTGTTCGGGTGGAGGAAAAATCTATTTGGGTAGAGGAAAAAATCTGGATCAATTTATTTTAAATTTTGAAACCAAATTAAAAAATAAATAAATACAATACAAATGTTTTTGGCCCAAAAAGATAATCATTAGGTCAGACAAGCCCAATCCAACTTTACACCTCGCACCCGCATCCAAGCCCAAGCCCAGTCCACCCAACCAGACGGACTGCGGCGCACGCATGTGATTTTTGTTTTGGGTCCATGGGTCTAGCCCACTTTACCTATAACCTCACCCTTCCACAAACTTGGGTATCCCGTGGAGCCCATCCTAAGTATCCTAAGCTAGAGTTTATATACCCATATAAATCCTTAAACTTTTCCAATGTAGGACAAGCACATTTCACAAATGTGTAGGAAACCCACTTAAAGCCATATCCACGAACCCGAAAATGCGCATTGAATTCTCATTCATCTGGAAATGGTTTTGAGCAACCAAATACACGATGTTATTCACTACGCGACCTTAAATATGAATCCAATTAGAAATGTTAAAAATAACGCTTGGGTCCTACCTTTATTAATGCTTAAAGTTAACAAAAAATAAGGCTTTACAAAGCCATTTTTCAACAATCCCCCACATAAATGGAATTCACAATAATGGACATGCAACAAGATACAAACAAAGAAAGTGTACTTTAAAAAGATACATCACATCAAATAGGCAGTTTTTGGCTTTGAACCTCCTCTAGTGAAAGTCTATCAAACTTACTGGCTAACCAGTGAACGTGATGCCTTGAACTGTTTAGTTGTTTGTGTAAGCCAAGACAATAGACTACACATAGTGTATCCGCAGACATAGTTTGGTTCTTATGGTTGTGTTCATTTTGGCTCTAAACAACACCTGGTAATTCATGAGTGCTCTAGAGATTTTAACTTTCTCAATTCTTACAGAACCGGCCCAATTCACAATCATATAGGTGACTTCTTATTAAGAATATCCTGCCATATCCCACTTGGATGTCGAAGCTATAAGAATCATTAAAAGCAAAGTTTATCCTACTAACACTGCAAGTATCACTCTTCTTATTATAGAAATAGGTATGAGAAAAACCTCCTTAGTGATACATGAAGTCATCTATAATTCAGTTGTCCCTTTGAATCCAGATCTTAGGATCTCTAGTCAACTAGGTTGGGTTGCCATTATGGCGACTTTTAAGTAATAAGCTTTAATGACATTCCCCTCGATAAATGGTAAACTTGCTCTTTAGCAAACCTTTTAGTCAATGGATCTGCAATATTCTCCCTTGACTTTACATATTCTATGGAAATTATTCCATGTGAGAGCAAATGCCTAACGGTATTATGTCTCCAACAAATGTGTTAAGACTTACCGTTATATATATGATTATGTGCCTGTCCTATTGCTGCTTCACTATCATAGTGAATGCATATACCTGGCAAAGGTTTAGGCCATGTTGGAATGTCTTCTAAGAAATTATGAAATCATTCTGCTTCTTCTCCTATTTTATCTAATACAACAAACTCAGATTCCATTATCGACCTTGCTATGCATGTCTGCTTGGAAGATTTCCAAGAGGCTGCAGCACCTCCCAGAGTAAAGACGTATCCACTAATGGATTTTGATTCGATATCCAATTTGCGTCGCTATACCCCTCGAGTACTGCTGGATATTTGGTATAATGTAAGCCATAATTCTGGGTATGTCTTAGATACCTAAGTACCTTAACTATCGTTTTCTAATGATCAAACCTTGGATTACTTGTGTACTTACTCAATTTGCTTACAGCATAGGCTATATCTGACCTAGTGCAATTCATTACGTACATCAAGCTTCCGATTATCCGAGAGTACTCTAATTGTGAAATGTCTGCACCTGTAATTTTTGACAAAGAAAGACTAATGTCAACAAGTGTTTTAGCAAGACGGACGTCATGCTTTCCAAATTTCTCTAGAATCTTCTCAACATAATGAAATTGAGATAAAACATATCCGTCAAATGTTCTAGTAATTTTTATTCCCAGAATTACATCTGCTACTCCCAGATCTTTCATGTCAAACTTTTTGTTCAACATTTTCTTTGTAGATTTAATCATGTCATTATTGCTTTCAATAATGAGCATGTCATCCATATAAAAACAAACTATGACATAGCCTTTATCTGTGCTTTTAACATAGATCCATTTGTCACATTTCTTTATCTTAAAACCATCCAAAAACATAATGTGATCAAATTCATGCCATGGTTTCAAAGCTTGTTTTAATCCATAAAAGGATTTGACAAGTTTATAAACCTTTTTCTCTTGGCCAGGAACTTGAAACCCTTCCGGTTGTTCTATATAAATTTCCTCATCTAACTTGCCATTCAAAAAGGTTGTTTTAACATCCATTTGATGTATTTCCAGATTATACAAAGCTGTAATCGCAATTAGCATGCGAATAGATGTTATTCTTGTCACTAGTGAATGTGTGTCAAACTAAACAAGGCCTTTCTTAAAACCATCCAAAAACATAATGTGATCAAATTCATGCCATGGTTTCGGAGCTTGTTTTAATCCATAAAAGGATTTGACAAGTTTATAAACCTTTTTCTCTTGGCCAGGAACTTGAAACCCTTCCGGTTGTTCTATATAAATTTCTTCATCTAACTTGCCATTCAAAAAGGTTGTTTTAACATCCATTTGATGTATTTCCAGATTATACAAAG